ACCAGCGAGTCGCCAGCCGAGCAAAAGTGATCTATTGAAGCCCCCGGTTGCTTATCACGCGACCAATGTCACCAAGACTGACAAGACGGACCTCGATATGGCAGTAAACGCGATGGTGTCGCCGACCAAAAGCATATTGGTCACACCGGGTACTGCTGCAAATCGGCGAAAGACAGTCTCGTTTGGTGACGGTGTTGTTGACAATGAAAGAAAGCGAAACGATGAATCCAGAACGCCGACGAATCTGTCCGGCAACCTAAGCAGCCAATGGTTGTCCAGTTCTTCAGACAGCAAGGGCAAGCCGCGAAGCAGACTCACGCAAGCACTACTGGATTCTCGGGACAAGTCTCCCAATGACTCTACGACGACTAACGGCCAACAAGTCGATCCCAATCCTTCCACGGACACCGCATACAAGGAGGCACCGCAGTCGACCAGGGAGGATGACGAGACCGTCAATCTCGATGACCCACGCTCTCAGTCTGGCAAATATTGGAAAGCCGAGTTTGACAGCTACCGTGCAAAAACGACGAACGAGATCAGAAAGCTGATTCAGTATCGGTCCGCTGCCAAGAAATTCGCTCTGATGAAGGAAGCAGAAGCTTCGCGTCTAGCTAAGAAGCTGAAGGAGGAGGAAGTGAAGGTCGCCGAAATGGAACGACGCGTCACACAGCTCGCTTCCACAATGGTAGCGGAAAACGCAAAGGCAGATAGAGAGCAATTGGTTCAAGATTTGACTAAACAGACGGCTTTAGCCCTGCAGTATAAGCATCGAGTCAACACCCTACGCAAGCTCCTAGAGCAGCATGGTGTCGTCGGTACTGAGGTGGATGAAATCGTGGAGAAACGAGAAGGAAATAACTCGTCTAACGATCCAAGCCAGGTGCTACTTAAAACTCAGCAGGCTTTGACTCAGGCGAATGCCAGGATTGAGGAGATGAAAGTCCAGCAAGTCGAGTTCGACAAACTCAAGGAGCTCGCACAAAGCTCAGAGCAGAAGGCCTCTGAGCTGGCCCGAGAAAATCTCACACTGAAGCAGTCCTTGGCGAGAGTCAAACAAGAAATGAACAAATACGAAGGGCGACGCAAAGAGAAGGAAGCGAAGCTCAAGCAGCGAGAGATCAAACTTGAAGCCCGGATTCAGGATTATCGCAACCGCCTGAAGACGGCTTCACAGGAACATCGCGAAATGGAAGAAGACCTCAGAGAGTCGTTCAATGAAGAACGACGTCGCATGCAGGACCAGATTGACCTTCTCCAATTGAAGGTAGCGGCGTTTGAGCGTGTTCCCGACAGTAAGATCCGCAGCCGCCACTCATACAGTCCGCACAAGGACTACACTGGGGTCCAAGTGCATGATTTTGGGCAAACCGTCGCTCAGCGCAACGAGACCGAAGACTCGCAGGAGGTCGATGAACCGCCGAGTCCGAGCCCACGCTCGAAAAACCGACGCTCGCGTAATCTACACAACCCCACCGTTGATCTCGATTTAAAAAGAGCTGCTCAAGCCCTGAGCATGGAGGGAATCAATGCTCAACAACTGCCTTACACAGACTCACCTCTTAAAGCCCCCAGCCGCCGTTCTCGCAGAGCGACGGTCGCCGCTGCTGACCCAATTCCGCCCTCTTCCCCCCCTGAGTTAGCACCTATTGACGTGTCTACCGAGATACTTACTGAAAAGTCGAAGTACAACCACCCTGACTACCAAGCGCATCTGCCGACTCTCACTACTCTCGATTCCCTTGCGCGCCACCTAGCCGACCTCGACGAGGGCCAACAATATCGTACCCGTCGTCAAAGAGCGCGCCGTGCGCCGTCAAGGTACAGCTTGGATCCCATATCTGGCTTGGCGGACCTGCGTCTCACCGAACGAACGGGAAAGAGACACAGCCTGGCTGCATTACAACGAGACTCTATACCGGTGGAACGGATGCTGGCTGCCCAAGCACGACTCAAGCGGAAGGACCAGACTCGCAAGAGCAAAGAAGGGGGCAAGGAATCCGTGAAGGCGTACAATACATGATCATTTCATTCATTTAATATCTCTCTTCTTTCTGTTTGGTCTTAGGAAAGCGTTGGGTTTGGGGGGTTTAAAGGACTGGCGTCGGGGTCTGATTTTGCCGTGTCTCAGTTTTAACATCCCTGAAGTTCTTCAACATTATGATTCTTGTCTTTTCTCATATGTCTTCATCGTCCCTTTCTCTTCGGAAATTACCCGGACGTCCACTGACTGGCCAGTATACCCTTATGAAACTCGTTTGTGCTATGTCTAAGAAATACTAGTTTTCCGACGTTGGCTCTTTCATAGATAATGCAGATTGCCTATATCTCGATAACAACGATATGCAATACTCTGTAGTCTAGATACTGTTAAATGGAGTCAAACGTGTACCACCTGTCGCAGACGCCATTTTGCAGCGAACGGTTAGGACATGGCCCCAATCCCAGATGGTCTGTTTCTTGCGGGGTTGGTTTTCGTAGACACTGAGCTCGCAACTAGCATCACACAACAATAGCCGATGCTCTTATCCAAGTCTGTCACTATGATCCCTTGGTGCTTGAGATTGACATAATTCCAAAGAAGCTCTAATGGCAGGCTCGAGCAAAGCTATCGAAGGTAATACCACATGGCCGAAAAGCAATAGGTTGGTACGGAGTTGATATCCTGGTTCAGCTGAGAGATCACTCGGAACGGCTTCCTTGATATATACCATGATCGTCTATTTAAATATCTATTCTATTCAATTACGGGATATGAATTACGCTTTGCCGTCACAGAAAGAGATGACGGCATACTTGCCGCCCCAAGCCCACTTCCGGGCCTTGGGGTCATCCCCGCCTTGCGTCTCACGGAGTTTCTCGTCTTCGCCTGGCTTCAGACCCACAACGACATCTGCTTTGCAGGTACGGAAGGAGAGGATGCGGATACCGGAGCTGGGGCCCAGAGGGCCGATGGCTGTTGTAAAGGGGGTTGTTGGGTCCCAGGCGGCCTGTCAAATAGTTAGCCATGAAAGCAAATACTAGTACGTGGACTTGAGGAGGAACCCACGTCGTTGGTCAGCTTCCGGTAGTTCAAATCACCCTTGAACAGGACGAGCTCGCTCTGCTTTAAATCCTCAAACAGATCGGGTGCGACATAGGGCATCCGCCAGTAAGAGCCTCCAGCGGTCCAGAAAGCGTGCGGACGGATTACCAGTTTTCCCTCGCTGTGGAATTCACTCCACTGCTCAAACAGGAACCTCACCTCGGCTAGTTCCTTCTCGGTGAGGGGCTTGTACTCGCGTCCTGTCTCGTCCGGGGCCGTATAGAAGCCCTGTGCGTCGGCCAACGCGTTGAGGAGATCCATAAAGTCCCGAGGGGTAACGTCGGACACGAACCACGGGATCACCTTGGGATGGAGTACCACGGTTGTCGCTAGGCCCGCCGAGAGGAGGTAGCCGGCCAGGATGAGATCCACGAACAGTTCAAAGCCAGAGTTATCAAGCACAATATCAACACGGCGCTCGCCGTCTTTCTTCTCCTTCTGCGCCTTGGCGAGAACATCAAAGGCGGCGTTCAGATCGTTGACGAGGATGTTCTCCTCGGCCGCCTTGCGCGCCTTGGAACCCTGTAGCTTCTGGATATCCTCGTATGTGAGAGACGTCAAGAGAGAAAGATCTGTCGCGTTACCCCACAGGCAGATCTCGCACATTTCAGAGAAGAGCAATCGATCCGTTTGCTCGATCTCCTCCGCCGCCTTGCCGTCCACTCCCTTGCCTTTCTGTGCCTGAAGCGCGAGCTCATGGTAGCGCGCCGCTAGTTCGAGCACGGCCGGGCGTGATGACTTGAACGTAGACATCTTCTGCCGGGAGAAAACATCGTAGCCCTTCCAGTTCTTGGACAATGCAAAGAAGGTACTGATGCGCCGGTCTGTCTTGGTCAGCATCGTCCGCAATGCCATGTATAAACCCGTGTAACGCACAAAGATAGCATTCCGAGAACAACCACGAAGCATTCTGCCATGAGGGCGTTCCTCGCTGCTCCAATTCCTGGTTATACTCGGCAATACCTGGCTCGCCATCGTTGGGAAGTGGTCTAATCATGAAAGGAGCCCAATCAATTAGCTGTTCTTCGATACAGATGAAGGGAGAAATCACATACGTCAGCTTCCTGTCGTGTTGGATCTCATATTTCAACTTCGCCAGTTCCTCAATGATAGTCTTGCCCTCCTTGCGTTTATCCTCGTCAGTGACGTCGCCTACGGTGCGGTGAAGATCGTCGATTGCGCTGGTCTATACCCTCCCTGATCAGTCTCTGAAATTGACAAAAGAGGCGAAGTTACGAAAAGACGTACGATAATGACCGGCCACCGGTCGCGAGCGGAGACGTAGCCGAAGCTGGATGGATCGGAGGTGAGGTATTGCGCTGTGAGGATGAAGCAGAGCGGGGTTAGATTGGTGTGCCCCTCTTTGAGAAAGATTGGGGAACGTACGGGTCTTGGGGTCGTATTCCATCTTTTTTTTTTCGTTTCAATGACAATTTTTTGGGTAGAAGGATGCTTGGAGAATTGATAGATTGAAAGAGAAAAGAATTATACGGAGCAGCTACAGTTGAATGACGATGGAGCCAGAGCTGGACTGCGTGGGGTAAAGTGGGCGGATAATTGCCCAGTGAACGGCCTCATAGGTGACTTGATTCAGGAGCAATTGTGAGCGATTACCTTCCATCCCACTGCATTGAGAAGGTCAAGAAAAAGACCCTTAATGATGAAGGTATCGGGATCAACGTTATTCTAATTCAAAAAGCTATCGTGTACCGCTCTCGATCACAGATTGTTCCGCTATGCAAGGGATCAAAAACCTAGATCAAAAGAAATAGATACACCACGTCTGTTATCCCAAAACATCCATATGTAGCATCTAATTCCCATAACCAAAGGTCGCTATGTTCTGACCAAACAAGGGAGATCTTTCTCATATCCAAAACAAACGCCAACCAGTGCTGAGTTCGTAAAGGTCATATCACATCATCGACAAGATGGAGTTCTGCGCGTAAGCCTGTCAAGAGAGAGTTAGCTTTGTAGCTTGAGCAGATACGAAAGAGACAGAATTTACCATTGGCTTGATGTCAGGGTGAGGCACTGCTTCAAAGACCTTGAAGTCAAGCTTGAGTTCGGGCCCAATGTTGATGAATGCACCCTTGTTCTCGGTGGTGTCGCAGTACTTGGGCGCGGAGAAGACGGTGATGCAGCGTCCGTCGTGCTCGACCTCGTAACCTCCCATGCGGACCTCGTGCGACCGAATGATAGCTTCCAGACCGTTTTTCTCGCAGAAGCGCTTCGTTACATCGGGTCCGAACTGCAGGCCAACGCCTCTCTTGCTGGGCCCACGGCCCGGCTCGGTTTGAGGGTCCGTCCAGAGCATCTCCATCATCAGCCCCTGCTGTCCGGGCTGTCGCTGGTTGTGCCGGTTCAGTTTCCGGATATCGTCCAAGGTGACCTGGTCGTCGGAGAAGAGGCCACCGTGCAGCACAAGATACTTGCTGCCAACCAACGTGGCCAGGGGCAACGCGGAAAAGGACTCGGAAAAGACCTTGAACAGGCGTTCGTTGTACTTGGCTTTGCACTCGCCTTCGAAACCATAGACCTTGTTCATGTCGTCTGTCTCGTGGTTGCCGCGGTTCAAGAAGATGCGGTTAGGGCGCAGCCACTTGTATGCGTAGAGGAGCAGGGCAATCTCGGTGGACCACGAGCCACGGTCGACAAAGTCACCGTTGAAGAGGTATGCGTGCGTCTCGGAGGGGTAGCCGTTTAGGTTGAAGATGTTTAGAAGGTCGAAGAATTGGCCTAGCACAATGTTTAGCGGGCAAGTCACGGTACACCGGACAGAAAGCCATATGAACTCACCGTGTGTGTCACCACAAACCGTCAACTTAGTACCCTCATCCACGCCGACCTCGACCATCGTCGGTTCCGCATAGACGGTATCCTTGACAGCCTTGATGATCTGGAACGCATACTTGCGATGGATCTTCTTGCCATTCTTGAACCGCTCAATCATATCGTCGATGAACTCTTGAGTCATCTCATTCTCCAAGCGAACGCCATCATAGGAGGAATCGACGGCAATCGCATCGATGTCCAAGTCCTCGAACGCAGACGGCGGCTCCCCAACCTCAATTGCCTTCTCAAACTCTAACCGCCGCACGAGCTTCTCACACTCTGCCAGCTTCAGTTTCGCATCGCGGTTGTTGGGCTCCTTCTTTACGACAGCTTTAAAGTCTTTGAGGGCTTCGCGGTAGTTCAGAATGGCAGTATTGGCAAGGGCTCGTCTCCAGAAAGCCTAGCAGCACTATTAGCCATTATTTCGCAACAATTTCTCTTGGAAATGCACATTCGACGAACTTTGACATACGAGGGGTCGAGCTCCAGAGCCTTGGTGGCATCCGCGATCGCGAACCCATACGCCTCAAGTTTGATATATGCCTGTGTCCCACTGTATTAGCATCTGCCCCTCACATTTCCTTCACATTCTAGTGTAGACACCGGCTCCGCCCTAAACATACCTGCGCTCGGTTGCTGAAGAACGACGGTTCCCGATCGTACTTCTCTATCGCCTGCGTGTAGAAATCGACTGCGGTAGGCCATTCATGCTCGGCAAATGCCTTGTTCCCCTGCACTTTCAGTGCAGTAGCAGCCTCGAGATCGGATGAAGCCATCTGCGAAGTGTAGTAATCGACCGAGGGAAAGGGTGCGATGGAATCGGTAGATGGGCACGAGGGCGATTTCCACGGATGGGAGAACAAGAGAGGAGGGGTTGGAGACGGATCGGAGACAGCAAACGCGGGGTTTGCGCAGAGAGATAGATAAATATGAAAAGGGGGACAAAGAAGGAAGAAAGAAAGGGAAAGGTAGAGATCAGCTGTCAGCGCTTCCTGAGTTCTTCTTCTTCCTTCTTTTTCGCTCCCTCTTTGACGCGGCGTGCCAGTCCTCCGTCCGTCTGGTCCATTTCCGTCCGGTCTTGGCATTTCCCTTCCCTGTTCTTCGACAATCCTCTCCTCGACCTGCTGCCTTCTCCAAACACCAAGATCAACTCTCATTTCTTGCTCACTCGACCGTCAAACTCAGTCGTCCTCGAGAGGAAAGTCTGAAGAGCAAGAACCATGTCCTCATCCTTCTACGTCGCCCCAAGCCAGCAGCGCACTCTGCGCGCCTGCATGGTTTGCTCCCTCGTCCAACTACACAGTGTACGTCCACTCGCCCTAACCCCCTCTGCACACCCACTAATCTCATTTATTTACGTGCAGAAATTCATGCGCGATGGCTGCCCAAACTGCGATAACATCCTCGGCCTCCGCGGCAACAACGACGCCATCCAGGAATGCACCTCGCAGGTCTTCGAGGGCCTGGTTACCCTCCGCGATCCGACGACGAGCTGGGTTGCCCGCTGGCAGCGATTGGATGGATACGTGGCGGGGACATATGCTGTTAAAGTGACGGGATCGGTGAGCGGACACCTTCCAGCAATCAACTAGTGATATCGGACGAAGCTTATAAGGGTTTAGTTGCCAGACGATGTCATCACGAACTTGGAGGATTCGGGGGTTAAGTATATCCCGTACGTTTATCTCCTCGGCTCCTGCATGAGTGGTGATACTGACTGGGCTTGTAGGAGGGATGGCAGTGCCTTGGAGGAGGAGGCATAAGATATTCGATTTATCATCCTCGGCAGGATGTACATTTTGCTTGGATATAGGGGGATCTACAGGCGGACGGATTCTTCGTCACAGCATGAGCTTGGAGTTTTGGTGTTAAAACGTACGGCATCGGGTTAGTAAATGGGCTTGCGCTGGAGTTTTGCTCCTATTTCTTTCTTAGATCTCCAGATGATTTTCAGATCAATGATGTTTCTACAGCGCTCCTTTTAGATCGCTGATACCCTGTCTCTACGCTCGGAGAATACCCATTGAGAGTGATCATATTTGATTACCACTTTTAGAACATAACTCATCATATATGCTACTCCAAAATCTCGAACCCGTGAGATATCCGCTTTAAATCGATCATAACGCCGAATAGTGCAAATCAAAAGACGAAAGAAAGCCAATTGCCCCGTTGAGCTAGAAGCTTACAGCTGCTTGATGATCTTCTCAACACTCTCCAGGAGGATATCAGCTGTAACGCGTTAGTTTTTCATCCACCAAGTCAGACTGAGGAGTGCTTACCGTGATGCTTCTGGAAGATCAGCATGGGACGCAGGCGAACAGCGCTCATGCCACTGCCACCGATGTTGACACCAACGCCCTTTGCCTTGGCGAGGAACTCGTCGCGCTTGCGGGTGTCCCAGGCGATGAAGGTACCCTGGCCCTTACCGCGAAGGTTTTGCAGATGCTCGGGGTACTGCTTGGCCAGACGCTCCAGACCAGCGAAGAGGTAGTCTCCGGTGGCGGCGGTGTTCTCAACGAGGCTCAGGCGCTCGATTTCCTCGATGATGCCGCGGAAGATGAGGGCACGGGCCGGGTCACCCATCCAGGTGTTGAACTGGCGGTAGGGCTTGTTGGGGCGCAGAGCGGGGTTGCCGTAGTAGTAGCCGGCGGTCTGGGCCTTCTTAGAGAATGTCACAATGTCGGGAGGAGTCTGGAGGTTCCAGTGATCGTGGGCCCAGAACTTGCCGGTAGCGCCGACACCGGTCTGCACCTCGTCGACGATGAAGAGCACGTTGTTGCGCTTGGTGATGTCACGCAGACCCTGGAAGAAGGCAGGCGAGGCGTGGTTGTCACCGCCCTCGGACTGGATGGGCTCGACAACAACGGCAGCGACGGGGTTGTGGAACTCCTTGATGAGGCGCTCAACCTCCTGCAGGCAGCGCTGTTCCTCCTGAGCGTTCTCCTGTGCATGCTCCTCCAGAGGGTACTTGAGAGAGGGGAAGGGGGCCTGAGGCCAGTCAAAAGCGGGGATGTCCATCTTGTGGATGGCCTTGCTGCGGGTGGTGGACAGACTGCCAAAGAGACGGCCGTGGAATGCGGACTTGAAGGAAAGGATCGACAGCTGGGGAGAACCAGGGGACTGGTTGTTCATGGTGGTCTCGATCTCTTCCGCAGTAAACTCAGCCTGGGGGCCTCCACGCTGCTGCTGACGGTAGTACATGAACGCGGCCTTGTAGGCAGTCTCGTTGGCATCAGAGCCGGCCATGGCGGTGAAAACCTGGTCAAGACCCTTGGGGGCAACCTTGAGGATACCGGTGTTTAGGACATGAGCCCAATCAGCCGAGGGGAAATTGCCCAGAGCTGGACGGTTGATCAAAGCAGTAACCATCTCGGGAGAGGAAGCGACCTGGCGCAGGTGGGGGTTGTTGTAGCCAACAGGAATGGAGGCAATCTGAGCATAGCTAGACATTGCTTGCATGAGCGGATGATCGGTTCTGAAAGAACGATGATGACTTACACATCGAGCAGCACGTTTCCGTCAAGATCAGCAATGCTAGGAACAACGTTAGCCCAACTCGCACCACAACGGCCGACCTGATCAACGTACTAATTACCAATAGACTTGGTATAATCAGTCAGCATGTTCAAGCTGCGGACATCAAAGACTTTGTCCAGCTCAGCAGTGGCGGCCTTGTTCTTGGGCCCCGGAATCGCGGTGACCACCTTGGGAGCACTGGGCTCATCGGCAAAGTATGGCTTTGCAGCTGCTCGTAGGTGCGGGGAGGTGGTGAGCGTGCGGGCTGCGACAGGGAAGCGAGAAATGGCGCGGAGCCGGGGAGCTGAACGAGCAAGGAATGCCATTGTGAGGTTTGATTCTACGAGGCTGGAGTAAGAACTTGAAGATGAAGAATGTTCAGCAGGCGAAAAGGTCGTACTTAAACAAGTGGGACACCCAGCAGATAAAAGATGTGGGGAGCGGCGATAAGAGCTTCAAGGGCCCTGAAATAGATTGAGGCAGAATTGAAGCTCCAAATTCGACCAACAAACTCAGAATAGATGACAGAAGAAAGTCAGGCAGTAATTCCAATGAAAGCGAGTCCAAAACTTAACAGAAACCAGGGGTCTGCATCCTTATATGCACGGTGACTATCGCGAGACCGCAACACAGATGGAGCTGCTTCTGAAATGCCGCCCCGCGCGTCATTGCTCGTCGGCGTTTTGGACCAATAGCAGAGCTTGCAGCCACCGTTCAGGGTCGGCGACACGAAAGTAAAGGAGCAGCAGATTGGAGATACGAAGCAAGGATGGAGCTGCTCAGTCATTTGATTCCTATTAATAATGAGAATGGGAATAAGTGTCTTGAAAGAGGAATGGACTTCCGATGATATGTGCCGTTCCCCATGCTGAAGGCCTTCTGTACCTTAAGAGATGCTACAATATTGCCCACTGCCAGTCTTTCCCTCCGCATGATAAGAATCGCCTAAGCCAAGGATATGATCTACAGATTATCAAACCGATGATCTAGAACGTTTATAATGATCAAGTGACATGCACTCAATCTTGGCTCTACGAATTGACCCCAGATGATGCAGCTCAGTTAGCTTGGAGATCTTCATTAGGATCTTAACACCTCTTCACCTTCAACCTAAATACTACCGTTAGCTTATTAGGGAGGTGCCGTGTGAAGCCCCCATTAGAACAGACGAGGGCCGTCGAACCACCACGGGTACGATGGCTGAATTCCACAAGACGGTCATAAATTGTGTACATTGGAATAATGGATATATACAGGAATTGCAAAGAAATCGCCTCGTCAGAGGGTATATAGACCATTGGATGAAAGCTCTTCATCGACGTCGTAATAAAGCGTAGAGTAACACAGTACAGGGATATTATTTTCAGAACAAAGAACAGGTCATCAAATCCCCAAGGGGGCGGCATTCAAATGAGGTGTTCGTCCCCAAAGGGTGACCCAGGTTTATCTCGATTGAGCGACGCTGACGACTTGTGACTCCCCGGAGAAGTGTAGAAAGTGCTTTCATTCTTCAGGTCGAAATGAGTAGTCGGTGTTGCCACTCGGGTGCGGCTTGAAGACAGGTCATGGTCTCCTGTGGCTGACTGGGGGGAAACCCTCGGTTCAGTCCATGTTTCCATCTCGACGGTGCGCATCACCTCAAACGGTTCCACAATGGTAAGCCCCTCAATACCATACTGACGTGACTCAAGTCGCGAAGCTTTCGAGGGGCCGGCTGACGAGAACAGCTTGTTACTCTTGCGACCCGTACCAGAGGCGTAGTTGCGGGAAGTCTGCAGAAGACGAGGTAGAAAGAAACCAACAAGAGGTCGCAATGCCGGAGCAGAGGCACAAATCTGGTCATTTGTGAGCCGCGAACAATGATACCCATTTCATCCAGAAAACATACCAGGCCCATGTTGATCTCAACAGACGCGGCGAGCAGGACTGGCCAGCCCAGCCACGTGGTATCGTATGAGGCGACCATGCTCTTCCAGACGTACACCGTGCGAACTGAGCCTGCTACATTGACCACGATACCCAGGCCGAAGATGGAAATTACGGCAATCCTCTGTCGAGTAGGCAATTTCAAATTCCAAATCAACGGCATAGGAAGGACAGTGACAAGGAAATCGGTGAAGATATTGATGACACTTGCGGAGAAGACAATGGCACCATCATTCAAGCACTGGTATGGATAAGTGGGCGCAAGATCCCAATAAGCACGGATCGGACTATGAGACAGATGTAAGTCATAGCAAGAGAATGAGACTGTCGACCAACTCACTTGCACTGGAAGATGCTGAAAAGCAGAAAAAGAGCGCAGCTGAGGGAGACAAAAGCCATTCCCCCAATAAGACACCAGTTGTATGTTCGGTAAAGGCCCTTACTTCCGGCGCCGAGAAGCCGCTTGCAGAACCATAGGAGCGAAAGTTTGGTGACTGAGGAGGACAACGAGAACAGAATTTGAAATACAAGGTTGAGTTTCGAGACAGTAGTAAGCCACGTCGGTGGGACATCCCACATATGTCGGTTCCAGCCGTATCGTACCGTCGCGAGAGAGATGATGGCACACATCGCAATGGCAAAGCCCTAAGACGATCAAAAACGGTCCAGCATCAGTCATCGTCGAGTCTTATCACGTACCAGGGCAATCACAATCAGAACATCATCAAGACCGGGACTGTACGTAATCTTCAAACGAGTGTAAAGGCGAAGGAGCGTAACGACGAACGCGAAAGATAAACAGACAATATTAACGATGAGGGCACCATTCCCGCGAGTGGGGGGATCGACGTAGTTAGGTATCGGCCATGTAGCCAGAACTTCGGGAGGCGGCAGTCTCATTGTGGCGACGTCGTTAGAGATTTTGATCGACGTGAAAATATACAGGGTTCAGTCGTGGAGGAAAAGAGGTCAGTGGTGCCGTCGGATGGTCTGAGTCACGCAAGCATGACTGTCATCAACGTGATGAAAGCGTCAAGGACCCAAAAGCCATTTTCGGATGAGCGAGGCAAGCAAAGACTTTACAACCAGAGCTCTGCTCTGAGGCTTGACGAGCGAGGTCGATGGTGACAAAGGATCAAATGGCACCCTAGAGGACGAATGCAGCAGGAGACAGCTGGCCAGTTGTTATATCCTGCTCACGGAGCCGACACAACTGCCCGAATCTGGCCCTAAATCAACTATGGCCAGAGAGCCAAGTTTCGGTGGGGATTCAACTTCCGATATTGGACTCCATGTGCGTTCCATAGTTCTCAGACCAGTCCGGTCTCCAGGTGCACGGAATTTCCAGGAGACCTCCAATAATGCCTCGTCGCCACCATGGTTCATCTCATGTGCTTGCAAAAGTAGTAGTATCTCCGAAAGTTTGCTGGGATCAGATATTAGCTAGTGGCTATTATAGGCAGACCCAAGGACCCATCGTTCCCCTTCGACTCCACCGTCGATCTATACGACAAATCGCCGACGACGACACAAAATTGCGCCGGCACTCTCTCAGCGAAGTCAATGACAATTCTGTATCCCGGCCAGTCTCGAGACTCCAAAGTCAAAAAGGGGAATTGGCTGGGATCGTTCGCCAAACTTGACGATTCCATGACAAAACGATTGGTGAAATTTCCGATCCCCTGCAGATGCACTAAGTTCCTTGCAGCTACGGAAGCCAATAATGGCGAGCCCTAGGTGGTCCAAGCAATCTCACTTGCACGAGCATCCTTACTAGCGGGGTCTGATAGGTTACTGTCGTATTGACTACTCAGTGCTCAGCAGAAGTCGTTTGACTCGTTTCAGCTACGAGAAGGTGATACCTAGGGGTATCCAGATGATCCGAGATTCGTGGTGGAATTTGGAGTAAGCGAAAGGCAGGGGCATTGTGTGGAGCAATAATGAATCAAGACTTTGTCTCAATAATCAGAAAGATGTGGAACTGGCCCAAGTGTAAGAGTGGCTGAACCGCTGAACAGTCTACCCACTTTGCCTCGGTTCCGACCTTTCCCACGAGGGCCATCGCTTCTCTGGGTTAGCGCAGCCCGCATCCCCGCCTCCACACAGAAAAGTAGAATCAGTGTATCACAATTCACAAATAACTTCCGGAGTATGGTTCTAACAGCACTTTTCACCAAGTCTCAAACGTCTAACCAATGTGATTTTTCCATGGTGGAATATACTTGCCATGCTGAAACGTCTACAGTAGGCTTTGACCCTTGATTCGCTACCTAGTCCGGCAGTATGTCGGCATTTTGAACCTTGCGCCACCAAGATGTAAGCGAATATTTAGCGAATCCCACCTTTAGGATTCTGGACTCCTGTAGTCCCTTGCATAGATATGGTACCGAACACGGATGCTTCGTACTTATCCGCACACTCAAGAAGTGACCTAAGGTCTAAGGAGGTCCCTACATTGATCTTGTAGACACTCTTGTTTGAACAATCGGTATTCGATGTTTCAGCATGAATATAATTCTGACAGGTTCTCAAAATGTGAACTGCGGTTTTTTCCGTACTCGAAGCTCGAGGTTAGTAATCAACAACACAAGTTCATTTTGGGCATGCGACCACTCTGACTGTCTTCTCTTTACTGCCATTACTACATAGAGAGGTATAAGTCTATCGTCGCTTATTGGTTGACAAACGGAGCCATTATTCGGGTCATATACCTGAATGATTGCAGTCTTCCAAGAAAACCGACAGAGCTCTTGACCATGGATGAAGCAGCCGTAAAGTTGATGCCTCAAACTTCCAGCGAGTCATGACAGCTACCAAACCACTTGTCATCGTTTGGCAGCCCATGGCACTCTGACGGAAATCACAATCTCAAGGCTCATTTATTCTGACTTAAATTTGGGTAGGTGTCATCCTTTTATCCGGAGACACCAGCACATCTTGAATTCGGACTCTCAATTTTGAACCTTCCAGACTTGGCTATCAGAAGTCATTGGTTTGAACAGAGAAATGAGATCTTTTGCGTATCACCCGCCAACCCAGTATCCTTCTTTTGAGCCCACTCTTTCAACTGTGTACAAATCACTCAGCCATGCACTGGAGTCGCCTTCTAGGCGTTCTTCTTACCAGAGTTAAGGTCAAACATTAACACAGCTTCCGAGTATGACTGATGGGTTTCTTGACCTTTACCATATACAACTCAACACATAAATTGATCTACATACCCAGAATCGGATATGACCTCGACTTGCCCTAAATGGCTAATGTAGGCCTGCCTGATCGGATCCAGGCCTGTTAGCTCCACACATATCAATAGCGGACGATCGTTTGCAGTCTGGGCGCCGATCATCCAGACAGCGACGACCGTTGGATCTCTGCAGAAGATTGTGGTTATCACAAGCTTCTTAGCTAGTTAGCATCTGATGAAGCTTTTCAGACTTTACAGATCATCGGCCAAGACTCAGCGGAAGGAGGATCAACGTGACTTTTATTCCTTGATACAATATCCGACGTGGCCGACAAAGCTATTAGAAGTTGTGGGCAATGAGAGTCTCCGACCTAGGCTATGTTCAAACAGACCAAGGGACCGTGAGGACCACTCCGAATTCCCCAGACCTCTCATCTCGGCCTTGCTAGGTGACTGTGAAGATAGTCATGACGATGGGTATAGGTGGATGCAATAGAGCATAAGCACCAAACTGGCGATATTCCGTTGTCCTTCCCCAGAAGCAAACTAGTCCTGTTGACAGCAACGTTAATATCGCATGTACAGTCAATCTAAGCCACAATCTGAGTACCGGATGGACTTTCAGCCTCTCATATGCCAATGCATACATTACCTAATAGAGACACCAAGTCCACACTCCTTCCGAACATACGTACTACTATGGCTCAGGACTATCAACAAACCTTTCCTAAGGTTAGTCGCCGCAGATACTTTGCGTCTATGTGTTGTTTCCCATCATCACTTTTACAGACCAGTAACGAGTATCACTTCAATCGTCGTCCATCCAAGAAACAGCCCAATCACAACATGACAGTGACTTCCAGAACCAGGACGGATATCTGTAGTCCTCCGTCATAGTGAGCCTAATATATCGGTTTCGTTACGTTTGTCATGACTGAAACAGCAGCTCCTACTTTGGCAATTCCATCACACTGGTCAAACTCCGCATGAATATAAACCATCTCTCAAGAAGATCAAAGCATTGCACGCGCTTGTGTGTTAATTTCCATTCCCTGGCTCTCAAACCGTCGAGTTAGACTAGGGCGAGGAAATACACCTTGACTTGCATAAATGGATGTAATGGCAGAGGAGCTGAGGCGAATGTAATAAGACCACACTGAAGTAGATAACTGCTTGCTAGGATAGTGGTCGGGCTTTTGAGTTAGAGACACATCCTCTCTCAAATCAGAAGCACTATGTTCGAATGCCGGGCTTTAGAAAAGCAGTCCTCTGAGCTCAAAGGCTGTGCTTGATGTCATGTGTCTTGTGAAAAGTTGCTGATATATAGACGTACTACTCTAGTCACAATGAAGGGTCGTTAATGATTTCAGCTGTGAGTGAAGGAAAGCGTACAGGAAGGCTCTAAACATTCAGTCACAGTTAGGACATATCTCCAAGTTCAAACAGACGTCTCATCGAGTCATCGATCAATTCCAGCTGAGATTTAATCCAGATGATCTTAAGAACCGCCAAGGTGAACATGTTCTTTTTCCCTGATATCAACTAGGTAGGATTATGAGATGGGCCTATGAGGCTATGACGATTAATAGAAGTCTGTAACTTGCGTGCGGTTGGACACCCTGTACTCCGCAGATTGTGGCTTGAGCCTTCTGCAGCCTAGCAGCTGGTGTGTCCCTGTAGTGTTTCATGGACCAGGTACGAGACAGTGGCAAGTCACATTTGTTCCCTTCTCCTGCATGCTTCATCTGGTGTTTCAACTAGATTGGGGAAACTGGATTGAGGTGAGTGCGAAGAGCCAGAGTGGTTTCTTCAGGCATACTCTTCTCACGGCGTAACCAAGTAATATCAAGAGTACGTAGGCTGCTTCCAGGTTCCATGGTCCATAGCTGCTAAATTGTGCTAAGGTTGTGGGGTCTAAGATGAGACGGACACCAGATGGAGGATCATTATTCAGCCTGAAGGCAGATATTGACTCGATTCACTCGAATAGTAAGTACCTGCTACTCTGATTCAGTTTGAGGACTTCACCCTGAGAACCACTCATGTACATCCTTACAGTAGCCGATTCAAATCATTCGAGGGTGCGCTCATGCGCAGGGCGTGAGGGGAAGACGAAGTGGGACCGGAGAGGCCGAAATTCTGGGATTATTGGCCAACAGGTTGCATTGGCAGTAAGCGTGCAGGATAATGACTTGAATTTATCCCGATGTTGCCATAGGCATCGCCAACCATATATTCATGTCCAATCGAAGGCAGTTCTGCTCTATTATTTGCGCTTGTCATCGGACAGATCGGCAATTTTTAAAGGCACACTGCATCTACCTCAGCTCACTCGACACGATGCGACGGATTATCAAAAGTCCAATGTAACATTCAAGTGACGTACATGGATATGAGCATATTCATTAGGGATATCTGACGTGCAAAAAACTGCGAGTGCCTGCTTCCTGCCTGGTCCAGATGTTGCTGCTCTAAGGAGGGTGAGCCGGCGAGTCAGGTGATCCACTCAGCCTTTAACCCCTATAGGCCTATACTTACCATACAGTATACTCACCGCGGGCCATGGGCAATTCTTCGGACAATTGTCCCTCAGCCGTTCGGCAATTGCATTGGAACGGTCAGTTGTAAAGTGCGATGTTACGTTTCTACTGGAGAAACTGAGTCTACTTCTTGATCTTCTTCTTCGACAACTATTACTATCACATTCTCCCGTCGGCTTACGTGGAGTAACTCTGTAATGAACACAATAAGGCCGTCCATTCCTCGTTTGTCCGCCTTGCTTCGCAAGAAACCGTTTCCCCTGCCTTCTCCCGGGCCACCTTTACCGCCTGGCATACTCGTTGATGAAGAGATCTCGCCAGTATACAATTCCAAGTACTTCTACCCAGCGAGGCCTGGAGAGGTACTCGCTGATCGTTATCAAATCCTGGTCAAGGTTGGATGGGGCGTGTCTTCAACAGTATGGCTCGCGCGTGATCTGCAAGGGTAGCCTTCAATAATTTTCGTTCAATTCGAAGCTCTCTCTGTCTCTAACAAACAAACAGACATATCGAAGAGCCAGAGAGCGTTGTGGCACTGAAAATTGCCAATAACAATGCGAGTTCCGCTTGTCATGAGCGCGAGGTTGAAGAGCACATTTCCACGGCAGACCCATCACATCGCGGTCGCTCACTTATCCGAACATTACTAGACTCTTTTGAAGTTGAAGGTCCAGAAGGTTCTTATTCGTGTCTTGTGTATCCGCCTATGAGGGAGCCATTGTCGACGTATCAGCGGCGCTTTGACGATAGAAAGAAGCCACTCCCCCTCATTAAAACATACATTCGTGCTCTCCTCACGGGGCTTGATTATCTTCACAAAGAATGCAGGATAGTTCATACGGGTAAGTTTATCGTCGGCCTTGCTTCCCGTCGGTGATACTGAGACCGGGCGGCTGCCCAAGGTAGATCTTAAACTTGAAAACATCATGGTCTCATTCGAGGATCCAACCGTGCTTGCTGATTTCATGGATTCTCAGCTTGAAAAACCGATGGCTTTTAAGATTGATTCGACGGGGCGACCAGTGTATCAGTCCCGTAATGACTTCGGGCCACTCAAAAGCCTGAGAAGTATACCACAGCTTGTCGACTTTGGCTTGGCAACCAGACTCGAGGAAGACGACGACTGGGGCGTCTGGCCTATTCAGCCAGACCACTATCGGGCGCCAGAGGTGATACTGGGTAATGGATGGCAAATGCCTGCGGATATTTGGAATCTTGGTGTTCTGGTGCGTCCCCTCGTTCTCTAAAGTTGTTGCATCCACTAATGCCAGACCAGTTGTGGGATATGATCGAAGGCAAAGAACTATTTCGGCATATCCACGATCAACAAGGTCGCTACGATGCTAAACTACATATTGCCGAAATGATAGCCTTCCTCGGTCCACCCCCTCCAGAGGTGATACAAAGGTATCAATACATGCGAGAGTACTCGTGGCCGGAACCTGTTAGGCGAGAAGACGACAGAGTATGCGAGACCGCGGAGGAGTACTTCTGTGGGCCATTCTTTGACAATAATGGTATTACTGCGTTTTCCTATCTCGAATGAATTATGCCGAGACTCACGAAACATCTTAGGTCGCTTTCTCTACGAAGACCTGATCCCCGACCGGAAACTAGGCGACACAGTTTCCTTCCTTGAGGGAGTGGAGAGGGAAGCGTTTCTGGATCTCGCCAATGGAATGCTTGTCTGGCATCCAAATGCGAGAAAAACGGCAGGCGAACTGGCGGGTCATCCTTTTCTTCAACCAAAGCAAACAAGCGGCTGATTTCTGCGAGCTTTTGCTAGCGCCACGACTCGAAATCGTGGTTGATTCCAGTTCGGCGGTGCCGTCAGATGAGGGATTGAAGCGTTAACGTAGTTGTCTTCTGAATGATATCTAATAGAGTCAGTTGTTCTGTCCTTGATCGGAAAGTAGTAGCATTATACCCTAATGGGATCAAAGCCATCAATCGCAATTTCATCAGGGTCAAGGTTCTGAAAGTTGCTGTCAATGCGGGTGGTATGTATAATTGGCGAATGTATACATAAAACTATATATTCACCACGGAAGAAGCGACCGAAGGTCTCCAGTTCCTCTTTGGCAAGGAGCCAGCGTCGCTCCTGCCTTGTCGCGGCGCCGTCGGAGCACGTGTAGATCTGATAAGCACCGCCCCCCCCCCCAGTGAATCGGCACTCTATAAAATAAGCAAAAGCAACAGTTTCCCACCAGCAAGTCTCAGGTTATGTCCTTTGAAAATGTTCACTGTGGGAGGACAAACTCATACTTGCTCGTCGTAGGCTGGCGACAGCAGCGTTGAGTCGATTCGAATCAGATACGCACGTGGATTTAGCAAATTCATAAGCAAGATTCGCTCAGTGCGCGAAAGGTAAGTCATACCCGGCTATGTAACAAGTGGTACTAATGCTACACGGACTCAGTGCCTACCTTACTAATACCCCAAAAAAGTCCTTTACAGCTACCTATTTAACAACTTTAACCAGGACATTGTCCAGGGCCAGATACGGCTCTAACTGTTGGGCACAAGTAAGTCGACAGTCCTATCTAGATCTTAGATTATATACTTAGGAATATTCACGGAGAGTTAACTTGACGTGATTAGATGAAGGCGTCTCTAGCGGACCCTTTTCTGAGAAAAAGATATTTATGGCTCACATCCAAGCCACTTGGCTGCCAGTTGTCAGCCTGTTTCAGAATCGAAGTTTTCGCTGGAAGAGCTGTTGATTCGTGCAACGGTGCAAGGCCTGGACTCCGGCGTGGCTTGACCCGAGACTGCCCGAAGGCATCCTAACCAATGAGCGACGGTGCCTGGAACCAACGGCAGTTCCCGCGCGGACGTTTTTGGTTGCGTGGCGCTCTTTGAAACAGGAGAGTTTCTGGACTCTGCACTCAGTCATACGTACCTTACTCATGCAATGATTCAAGCAGTGTGTGCTGTTGTACATGATATGGAGGGTGGACATACACAGTGAGAGCAGTAAATTTGAGATTATTATTAGTCGAGGTCATTGAGATCTGCGCCATAGAAATCTCCATGGCGTTAGACCAGCCTGAAGGACAATCGAACAGATCTCATCAAGGTTTCCATCGAAGTCAAAGACCATCGCTTGGCCCCCACCCAGACGCAAGTCGGACCTGAAATCTTCCAATGCGGAGGGCGATCGATATGATTAATATTAGTAGCAGACTAGGTAGTAGTATCTAGTAGTATTGGCTAGTCTGCTCCGTAAGGGTAGCCTCGTAGGATCCTTCCTCACGGTTATTTAGACTAGCGTATCCCATTCTTCTTCTTCCTTTTCACTTTACCCTTCGGTATTTAATTTTGTTTCCTTCTTTGAGTTTCCTTTTTTGAGATTCAACTACAACATTCCTTCATCATCCCAACTTGTCTGGTTACAAGCTCAATTCCCCTTCCTCTCGTTCGAACTAATCCTTTAACCTTCGACGTTCGTTATCCTTACATCTCACATCTATCTTTCAGTCTAGCATCATGGAGGGACATTCGGCTCCACCTGCTGCAGACGCTGCAGGTGCAGGCATAACGACCGATGCTGCTCCTCCAGTCCAGGCAAATGTTCATTCCCATGCTGTCCATCATAACCAACCCGTACATCATGAGGAAAAGGAGCCTACCGTTGGACGCGTCACGCCTCGGCCAACCTTTCTCACAAATCTTGCCGACTCTCGCGAAAGTCAGTTCAGGTTCCACCGTCGCAAAACCGATGACTTTGACAGCTACTTTGTATGTGTTGTTTGTCTTTCTCCTGCTGTTTTGATCTGGTACTGATTTGCTGGGTGGATAGCACGGTCCCCGAGACCTCGATAAGCATTCGAAATGGCCGGTCTTTCTTCGAATGCATGGCAGTGTCTTGCCCAAACTGATTCTTCCTATGCTCTTTGTCGCGGCGTGGTCGACTTTGATCACATTGTTCTCATTTTACGTACATAAACGTGAGTGGCTCGGCTGCAATATGTGGTGTATCGCTGGCTGATCGTACCATAAGTTGGCATTAATAATATCCTCCTTACGGTTCTCGGTTTTGTCGTCGGTTTGGCTCTTTCATTCCGAAGCTCTACAGCTTATGAGAGGTATGCAGTCAACTCAGCAGCTTACCGTTGTTATTGCTAATTGTGTCTCAGGTGGGCAGATGGACGAAAGTATTGGGCGCTCTTGGTTCAGACTTCTCGCAATCTTGCTCGCACAATTTGGGTCAACACGGCGGAAAGACAAGGCGAATTTGAAAAGGATGACCTGCTGGGCAAACTGTAAGCCTGACTCAGAATAACATCGTGAACATGGCTAACCCGTGTAGAACGGCCATGAACCTCATCCTCGCCTTTGCCGTCGCTCTAAAGCACAAACTGCGGTTCGAGCCGGATATCGCCTACGAAGACCTGGCGGGCCTGGTCGGACACCTGGATACCTTTGCCAAGGAAGCACACGATCGTTCAACCCTTCAGCCGCCCAAGAAGAGTTCCTGGAAGGCGTTGGGTGAATATCTCGGCGTCTCCTTCGCCGAGTCGAATCCCAGGAAGCTCGTCAAGCGCTCAAAGAAGCCTCTGGGACATCTGCCCCTGGAGATTCTCAATCACTTGTCTGCATATATTGACCGTTGCATTGCGAATGGCACTTTGTCCGTCAGTCTTCACCAGAGTCAAGCCAGTAAGTCCTCGTTCTTTCAAGTGCCGTTTGGCGTCTGGACGATGTTGCTGATTACTTCCACCAGTTGCTGCTCTGTGTTCCTTGAATGAAGTCCTCACTGGAACCGAACGTGTGCTGGATACACCACTGCCGGTGGCCTACAGTATTGCCATTGCTCAGATTGCCTGGATCTATGTTCTGGTGCTTCCATTCCAACTCTACCCCGCCCTGGGATTTATCACTATCCCTGGCTCTATCGGTAAGCCCCTCTCCCTCCTGTCGCATATGTGTGCAGAAACTAACTTGCACAGTCGCCGCATACATCATCCTCGGACTCGCCACGATCGGCAGCGAAATCGAGAACCCCTTTGGCCAGGACGTCAACGATCTCCCCCTGGACACATACTGCAGACAGATCGCTGTCGAGCTCGACATCATCACCGCCATGCCGCCCCCCAAGGTGGACGACTTCACCTCCCGGGACGAAAACCTCGTTCTATTCCCTCTCAGCACCTCCGGATACCCCGACTGGAGGGACCGCAGCGTCGAGGATATCCGCGCCGCGCTGCGGGCAAAGGTCGTCGCCAACACCCCGTCCTCGGGGCTCTCGAACTCGTCCACCATCTTCGGGGATGGAAGCCTGCGGTCCCGGACCGATACAAGCATGGCCAAGGCATCCGTTTGAGATGTGGTTACGATTTCGGTCGGAAGTAAAGTAAAACGAAAAAGTTTGATTTAAATTGAAATCTTTATACCAGGATCTATCGGTTATCGTGTTTGTACAGCGTCAGGCATTGATCGTCTTTCAATCGAGCTGCGAGTTTCGGTGTTTTGTCTGAACAGAAAGGGCATTTGCAAGCTTTGGATATATCTCTCGTTTATGAATATTTGTCATGTGGGACTGTTTTATATGCTAGTATTTCATACAATAGTCGTGAATATCTGCACGAGCATCTGTGTTAGCGACCTAATCAACGACCCACCCATTGTATGAATGTTCGTAGAAGGCAAACTCATCCGGGTGCATCTGTCGTCATGAGTGTCCTGCATGTCCGGTGCTGGGCCGTTATCACGCCCGACGCTACCCTTGCCACTGATCTGGCGGTTATGCCATTGGCACATCTGGTCGACGGAGCATGTAGCTAGCAGTCCGTTCGTCGACAACCCTGGGACTCTGTTTTCGCGGAGCACGTTCGCGTAGGGCATCCAGTCCGTCTAATGTCCCAGAGACGCGACAGAACCTCAAACGCATAGACAGTCCATCTCGTCCCTCTCCTATTTATAATTCCCTGGAAACAAAACATCACCCTATGGGACAAACAAATCGCCCCCAGACCCATGTAGCACCGCCCCGAGGTAATTGCCCTTCGCGCACACCCGCCACGCCACGCTCCCGCCGGTCGCCGTCGCAGATTTACTCCCCCCGCCGCCACCGATCCAGGAGCTGAGCGCGGCGACGACGGCTGCGGCGTCCGAGCGCGGGACGCGAATCCAGACCGTTTGCGCTTGGTTCTCCCGGGCGATTTTCAGGATGTCGAGCGGGATGGCTGTACCTGTGAGGCCGAGGAACTGGGCGAGGGCAGCGGTGAGGTGGGTTTTTGCGGTTAGAGGGTCGAGGGGGGACTGGCTTGTTGATGTTGTTGGTTGGGTGATTCTGCGATTGGACTGGGTTAGTACCTATGCTTGGGTGGAGTGGTGGGTGTAGAGCGTACAGCTGGAGTTTGAGGTAGGTCCAGGGTGGATTGCGGGAGGTGAAGGTTAGGACTTTGGCGGAGGAGGCTTTTGGCGCGTCAGTTTCCTCGGGGGATTTTCGCTTGGATGGTGTCGGTCCTGTTTGGAGGTTGGGAGGGTTGTCTATTGTTGAGGCCATTGTAGGGTTTGTGATTACGCAGTATGCTGTGGGTTGTTGAGTTTGTGTTGGTAAAAAAAGGTGTTGTTGCGGATCAGCGCGATAAAGGAAATGTCCGCGGTCTTGGTGATGTCACGGTACAGCGGACTCGGACAATTGAGAAAGCTATGAGCATATCCAGCCAGAACTTTGCGATCCTCGGAGAGTCAATTGTTCTTAATGATGGCCTCCTCGAGTCTCTGGCGAGCTCCTTTTAAAAATTGCTCTTCTCCGTCTTTCCCAATATCGAGATCAGTGATACAAAGAGTTTTGTCGCGCGATTTCAGGCCGCGGATTACTTCCGCATTGGACTTGGGAACGTCGAATATCTGGCAAGTATTAGCCATCCGGTAATAACATGCTGTATAGCGAAGTGCTCATGAGTAAGGATACCTGGGCAAACACCCGCGATACAGCTGCATTCGCCTCTCCGTTCCTGGGCACGGCGGCAACGCAGACATCGACTTTCTCTGCTCCCACCGCTGTGATACCTTCTCGGGAGCTGGATGCGTTCGGTTTGACGTGACATGCAATCTGTAGACTGTATTTCTTGGGCAAGAGTTGGGTCTTATTGCGGGATTTGGTGGTTACATTCTCGATCAGGCGAAGGAGAGGAATGGCGCGGCTGCTCATGGCCGGACTGTAGTCGATTGCGTCTGGTGTTAAAATTCGATATTCTCGAGCAATAAGGCAAAGATGCTATCTCAGTTGTGCTTTTAATCAGGTTTCGGCTGTGGTGGTGTAGAAGAGATGTAAAGTAGAAAATGACAAGCTTTATTGACTGCCGAGTCTTGGCTCGCTTATATATACTTCTGTTCTGCGCAAAGAGGAAATGAAACACCCGGAACAGCGCAGGACTCGAAGATGACAAGGTGCGAGATTGTCTCTCAGAACTGAAGACGGAGTCTGTTGATAGTCTATCGTCAAGATTGCCCTTAAGCAACAATGCCTTCTCTGTCTGCAGCCACTCTGTATCTGCTCGAAGACTATACGTTGAGCATTCGTCAAATGTATATGAATATGATGCGGTAAGAAGCCGGTTAGCACTTAGATTTGCAATGACTACTATGAGTGATACATATGATTAGCATACTCGGAAGGGAGTCCAAATTTGTAGTACTGCCAGTTTACCGGATAACACCGTGATAGAAAACATCGCGTAGTATCTCTCAAGCCTAGCATCCCTGGGGCAAGCGATGATGTATTGACTGACAGTCTGAGCCTTGTCGAGACAGTTGTACTTTCTATTGCTTCAAGTACTGGATTTGAGATGAGTACAGAGAGTAGAATACAATGGAAAGCTTAACCCGGAGCATGATCGTAGATTGATGAATTGCCTGAGACAGTATAACCCAGAAGCGAGGCAGAGAGGAAAAGACGAAAATGAACGGTCTGATGAGGAAGGAAAATGGTACAGACCAACAAGATGTTTTGTTTACTCGCCTCTGCAATCCTCCCAAGGACGCTTTGCTCTCACCATCATCACTGGCGACGCGTTCACTCTTCCACCAGAACATCATTTTTTCTCTTCAGAATAGCATCCTTAACTTAAGCTTGCATTTCTTAATTGTGTACAGCTTTGGTTGGAAAGTCCCTAGTCTTTGGTCACAGTTTACCTTCCTCAGTATCTGCGGTGAATTGCTCTTTGTGAGTCTTTTGACATGTTCAAAGATGTAAACAGGACTGACCATGTGAAGGAACATATTCACAGGAGATCCATTGCTTTATCTCATTCCCTTTGGTTCTCAGAGTACTCTACATCGTTGCAACATATTCACATCAGAACGCAAACACCCAGGGGTCCCTGGTGTCAAGAGGACGACTTACACGTAACCCATGGACATATCCACTCGAATGGGCCTCTTTCAGAGAGCTCTCTATCATAGCCGCGGTCTTTTCCCAGGACCAGGCTTTTACACCGGCCTAGAGTTCTATTCACATGAGGAGCAAGCAAATCCTCCTACCCTCGAGGCAAGTGAATTCCTTCTTAAGCCTGACCCAGGACGAATTTCGACTCAGTGTTGTAGCCGACATGCCATCATCAATCTGTTGTTGTTATCTTGCATCAGATGTCTAATCAAGTGTCATAAAACAGAGAGATTGGTACCCTTCGGCTGTTGCTCAATCCGTTGCACATCAAATTGATCCTCTGACTCCCCTGAGACCTACCGTTGGACTCTCTCCCTATTCAGATTTCCAAGATGCGCCCGCTACTCGAGCGCAGTTGACGGTTGGGCGCCCTTCACTATCTGTCTCGCAGCCTTGCCTGCCTGTGGGATTGGCTTCTCGCCCAGATTACCAAAGAGTGCCTGTTTCTCAATTGATACATGGACCGTCGCCTCTGTCTGCTACTCAAGCTGCACCGGGACACCGGCATCGGGTGAAATTCGAGCCTTCTCTTCTGCCTAAAAGTCAAGGAGGCCTTGATCAGCCTGCGGTTCCTTCGAGCGCCCACTACTCACCACCAGTGGAGCACAAACACCTGGTCATAAACGCTAACGAGAACTTGGTAAAGCCCGAGCCAGCAGCTGCAGACGATCTAACCGCCCCTCATGGCGATCAAACCTACTGGAGTCTGGAAAACCTGCCTGACGTTCTTTACGTTCTTAGACCCAGGACGGACTACCGCAAATCGAGACACCGTATTTATAAAACAACTAATGCACTTACTGGAAAGCAGATCAATGACTTTGCTGTACTCCCGAGCCAAATCTCCTCCAATGTGGAAGGATGGAGGCTCGAAGCCTGGATGCGTTTGGACCGTCGCATCACCCAGCAGGATATCATCGACCGTGTCAATCCCAAGTACACATTGACCGCAGAGGAGATTGAGTCTCGCAGGGAAAACTTTCGCAACACCTTCCACGTGGCTAATTGGAATGTGCAAAAGTCCATCTGGGATATTGATCGCATGCTCAAGGCTATCGGAGTTGATACCCAGAAGAATTCCACCAGGGGACTGACGCCTGGTTTGATCGATCCATCAAAGGGTGAAGCTGGTGGACGCATCCTGATACCGGGAGAAAACATCATTCCTATGAAGCAGGGAAGGACGAATCTGAAAACCGCTTCCAGGAGCTTCGATGAGATGTGCGAGGGTCGCCGTCCTGACCTACTTCATGCTTCGCAGGCAGATTTAAGAATGGAATCGAGGAGGTATGTATCTTGGCCTTCTTAATTCAATCTAGAGTGTTGCTAACGTTCGCGTTAGCCGCGAGATCGAAGCAGAGGAGAGGATATCGCAGCAAGATTTTGTAATGAATACGTGAGGTTCCATCTGTGCCCTAATTGTGCTCCATACTAACTGACTTTTCTATCCAGCCACACGAGAGCAACTGTATCGCCGCAAATTAAAACGATTGACTCCACTCATGTCGACTTCGAATACCCAGATGTAGATGGCTTGACCCATTGCATCGAGCATCCCACCCAACCCTTCCACGATGAAGACGATACTGTTGGTCGCACAATGTCTTTGCAGAGATTTTTGAAGAAGAACAACATGTCATACGAGGATTGGCTTCTCCGCGATTATGATGCTGTTGACAGAGATACCCTGAAGCGTGGGCGCAATGAAGATTTGGAGTCTCAGGAGCCCGCAAACATAACCACCAGCTCGAAGCGCAGACGTGTTGACAATTCGGACATTGAGGCGCCTGTGACCATGGAAAACAACCGGAAGCGCAGACGTGCTGAGGATATGGATGTCGCCGAGTCGGCAGCTGGCGACTATGCTAGCACAAAGCGCAGGAGTCTAGAAACTTTGAACACTGGCGAGTCTGCCAAAAGATCCAGCGATGATTTTTGGGCTACTGTCCTGAAAGGCTGAGAGCTTACTGACGAATTGGAGGGAGATTTCGCTGCACACCAGGAGCTGGCGTTGACATTGGGTAAAGCTGCCTGTTCCTTCAATCCTTTTCTATTTCTTTTGCAATGTAGCGAGTACTTGGGTATTCGAGATGATTTTACAGGGATATGGTTTGCGCTGGAGAATCTCAGGTTGCTTTGATTTCAGTTTTTATGGACATAGTGACAGAGGCAGCATGCACATTGTACAATTCCATTTCACAGAGATAGGAATGCACGTCACATTGCTTTTTCATTCACCTATTCCAACACTTTCTCTATGGATTCCCTCATATTGGCCTGTCTACACCTTGTACAAGCCTTTCATTTCCACCAAGTCCTCTCTACCTACTGCTTAGCTTACCTATACAATCATCTCTTACTCATACTTCAAACACAGCTCAGCTATGCTTCTCTAAATCTGTCCTTAGACTGAGATTAGAAGCTATAAATAGGAAGTTCCTACCTCATGGCCTTCTACTTTCTTCCACTCTCTCACGCGCCTCACCAGCCCATCAGCCCATCAGCCTGGTTGGCCTCCTTCTAGATAAACACATAAGTACAACTAAAGACCCTATTCAGCCTCATTATACTCGAAATACAATGAAGGCCCACCGAGTGAGCGATTTTCAGCTCGGATCCACCCTCTCCATTCGCTTCGTGCCCCTGCCGGGGAAAGGGAGACCATTCAGCAGCGAGCAGCAGTCAATATAATTGTTCGCAGCTTACAATACGTGCAGCAGACTAGACAATAGACTCCACGCAGCACCTGCCATCCAGACACGCAATCTATTTCCGGCTACCCTGTTCCGGCTTCGCTCAGGGGAACCAATGAGAATTGTTCAGTTGCGTTGTTCTGAGAAAAGAAGCTTTCCAGCCTCCTCGTGGTGTACCTGCAGCGCTGGAAGAACTGGGGCTGGGTGGGTCTGCAGCTGTCAGTGAGGATATGACAGCGGATGTGCATGTCGAGAGGCTTCGTCCAAGGAGTGCGGCGGACAACCCAGGAATGATAGTAAGATGGGCAAGCTGCGTATCATTTTGAAGAGCAAAAATTCTACGTTTCAGAAAGACAGCTTCGGACAGATCATGTTAAGGTGTGTTTGTGAGTCTGGGTTTTCAGGGGCTCGCTAAGGAGGTGAGGGAGACAAAGACTAGAGGAGGCATGTCGAGTGAATATTCGCTCACCCCGTTTCATCACCATCGCACAACCAAACTTCTCCCAATTCAGTCGACTATACCAACCTCCACATTATTGAGAAATCGAAAAGAATGAGGAGCTCTCAAAACTCAATATGGCGAAGTCCAATTCTTCTTCGTCTTTATATTCTCCTGATCTGTCTCCTCCGGGATTTCTCTTCCCCAAACACTTTTCCGCTTCATATTCGCAAGTACCAGCTTGCTCCCACAAATCACTACAACCATCAGCTTTCAGCAACAAGTTCCAAGACAGCATCAAGTGAGTGGTGATGAGTGCCCTTTGAGTTGTGTGCACAAGTGTTGCCCAGCAATGGCTGGGTTCAGTGCCGGTTCTTTTGCATGGCTGACATGGGATCGCAGCCTTCAACAATGGGTAAAATCGAGAGAAAGAGTGCCAAGGGCTCCAAGAGCTCTGAGAAGCTTCAGGGCAACAAAAGTGAGTCGACTTCCTCTGTCCACTTGGAAACTGATCCTAATACGGCAGCAGAAAAAACTCCGAGGCAGGGCAGCACCGAAGCCGTCGACCCGCGGAACTTTACCAGCTTCCGTGAGGACCAGAAGGATTGGTCCTGGGACAATCTCCCAGCCATCCTCTATCAGTTCAAGCCCACAAAGGAGGATGAGAAGAAAGAGCGAGAGCCGCCCAAGATGAAAGTCTTGGGCGGCCAATGGGTCAGAGACATCGAGATCCTTCCGGATCACATTTCCTCTGACGTCGAGGAGTTCAGAGTCGAGGCATGGATGCGACTCGACAGGCGCATCCACTTACAAGACATCATTGACCGGATGCACAAGGATTTTGCAATCGAGCGCAACGCCCTTCAGCAGCGGAATGTCAGATTTCGCAAAGCCTTCCACCTAATTGCCTGGAGCTCAGGAAACAAGATCAGTTGTCAGCTTGAGCAAGACGTGCTGAAAAAGATGAGCGAGCAGGGCATTGATCCTACACTCAACTCGACTCGTGGGTTGACTCCTGGTCTCGTCAATCCTGAGCGCGGTGAAGCGGGTGGTCGCATCGCCCTTCCGGACAATTATGGACCTGACAGACGTGGCCATCGTGGACCACGAACGCCAAAGAAGAAAAGGAGTGCGGCAAAGACTGAAGAGGACGTCGATATGAGCGATGCTCTTGACCCCACCACTCCCATTAGAGAATACCTGCCTTTGACTCCTCCCGCGACCATGCCAGCTCCGTCCGTCAAGCCTGACTCTTCGTTCGGTCAGAGTGGAGCTTCTGAGGAGTCGATGACTTCCATCCTTAGTTCTCCTTCCCCCATTCCAAGCTCCCCTGTTCCCCTTTCGCCTCCCCTCAGTTCTCCTCTTCTTTCTCCTGTCCTTTCTCCCGTTCCTTCTCCTGTTCCCGGTTCTCCGGTTCTTACTTTTACTGTTCCCGAGGAGGACCACCTCGACTCTCCTCTAGAGGAAACCCTCTACGATGGAGAGCTGTGCCCTTGCAACTTCGACTTTTTGTTCAAGAAAGAAACGCGTCAAGGACTCGACTGGCTGCGTCCTTGCGAGGAGGAGCTATCTGGCCAGCGCAAGGATGTGCCTAAAGTGTTGAAGGCGCACCAACGGCGAATGAAGCGCCAGCACAAAGCCTTCAAGAAGGCGCTACCTTTCTGCAATACCGATTCTCTGTACGCCAAATTTGCCAGCAAGTTCGACCTCGACGACATGATCAACGTTGTCCCAATTTCTCGCACGACTGCGCCGCCATCGCCGGATCCACTATTTCCATCCCTCATCTTCGAGCCTATGACGTTGCGGCTGATTTATCGCCCACGTCCCACTGACGAGGGCGCGTTGAAATGGGTATACGACGTCGCTCTCAACGAATATTACGCCGGGCAGCGATTCCTTTTTGAAATGCCTTATGTGGAGGGCGTCATGTGAGGCTAGCTCTATCTTTCAATATCTGCGCTTCCTGTGTTTACTTTTCCCTTGTTAGTGGGCATCTGGTGTGCCTTTGTCAATTTGTCTTCTGTCTGTTCATTTTTTGTCTGGTGGCCTTTCGTTTCTACAAATACCCCTTCACGCGGAGGAAGGCCTCGATTTCCTGGGAATGTTGCTGGTGCGGAGTTGGCCATGGAGTCGTCTTCCGGGATGCGGTGTCTATTGTTATCGTTGTGAGCTCTATGTCTTTCTTTGCTTTCTGCTTTTCTTTCAACAGCTGTTATGATGTCCACTGGGCCTCTGGACCGGAAATGGTGTCGTTCGGATAAGGTTGATTGCCAAGGCGGCGTTCCGCCGATAGCGTGACTGCCATGAGTTTATGATATGCAGGGTTGCACTTTCCTCTTTGGGCAGAGTGAGCTGGCCAGTGAAATCAATTTGTTTCTTCAATTCTTTAGCCCTTCAATGCTGTAGAGTCATCGGTGCATATCACTGACATCAACTCGTTTGGCTTACGGCATGATATATTTCATAATGTCTTTCGCGTGTATACTTCAAGCTTGAAACCTAACACGGCGCAGTAAATTCAAGGATACCAAACAGAAGTACACGCTCTTAAATCGAGTGATCATCCAGATTAAACCTCCAGTCATTTCTGACATCTTATATAGAAGTCTGTTATTTATGCCAAACTTAAGACTCAGCTGCTTACAAGATCGAAAGTACAGTTTCATGAGAGATCCTCCCCTCCAGTATAAGCCACACAGACTGGTAATGTAGTTGCAGCCGTTCTATAACATTAAATTCTGAGTGTAATTTGTCATCACTAACAACATGTACAACTATTCAGCTTAACGTCGACATCTATGCGTACCCTTTATTTAAATTGAGAATCACTATTACTTTGATCTAGAAAAATATCCCCGCCTGTAGAGGTATGTTCTCTCAGAGTAATATACCTGCTCTATATGCACATTCTCAGAATTTTCTTTAAGCAAGGATCCCCTAGCCCCAAGCTATTCACAATGGGACTTCTGGTGCTATATTCACCATGCTTCAACACTCAGGTATAAATCTGAGAGTCTACTGCTTTTTCCTTCTGTATAACAATAATTACTCTCTACTCTTCGTCTTCAGTATTGTATGTCAAGATTAACACATCCAAGCCTATTTTCATAAATATGTTCTCTCCACCTATTGATGCTCCTGGTATGTCCCCATACTGCATTTCAATATCACAGAAACTAATATGCTACGTCTCAGAGCTGCAGCAGTCGACATGCCATCGTCAGTGTTACATGTTCCTGGTCAAACAATGCCAATACTAACACACTCCAGATGATGACCCTCCTGACCGATACCACACCTGCGTCAACGCCCACCACGCAGCCTACTCCGAGAACAATCTACCCCCTCTCCTCTTCCGCCTGGAGGTACCATCATTCGACGATCTCCCTCCTCTCAAAAACCTCGTCGAGAACGGCCAAGTCGTCAAGGACCGCGACGGCCGCCCCCTCCGCGCCTTTCCCTTCCTACCAAGATACATCTCCATCCGCCCTGCAGCCTGGCTCCTCGAGTACTGGATGCGCACAGACCCACGCCTCACATACCGCGACATAAAGGCGCGGATGGTCGTCCCTGCAGCGCAGCTCCCGCGAGAGAACAGCCTCAACATGCGCCGAGAACGCCAGTGCAGGACTCCACTGGCGCTATCCTGCTGGTCGAGTCACCGCCGCACCGTGGGCAAAGTGGAGGTCGAGCGCGTGGCGCGCTGGTCGCTGGACCAGATCAGGTATAACACGACCATGGAGATCGAGTACGCGAGGGGTCCTGGCCCTGGCGACCAGCGTACTGCCATGCGGCTGCGCTCCAGGACCCTGGCGGGCGGCGCGCCGGCCTACCACCCTCTGGGTTTGTTTCTGGATGGTGAGGAAGTCCACGTTCCCAGTCAGCGAATCTGCGAGGCGTTGAGTCTCTTCTGGCAGTTGTCGGAGAGGGCTTCTCGGCTCCGGCTCGGGAGTTGGAGGCTGCTTCCGGCTGACGAGCTCCCTGAGACGTGGCGGCGTGGGACGCAGCGTGGGAATATGGGCGAAGAGAGGGATGTGGAGGCGGGCTCAAGACTGTCTGATACTGTCTAGCTGGAGATTGAGCCAGTCATCCAGGAGGACGATGCTATCATGGAGTTGGGTTGTCGCTTGTATATTAATTAGGTTGGGAGAAGATTGGAATCCCAAGCTTGAAGAACATTTGTTTGTCGTTCACGTCTTTGACACAGTGACAATAGAAATTGGACTATAGAAATCGACCACGTGTTTCATGCAAAACGATTGTAGTAGCCAAAGAGATGTATCTATACCTAAGTATCAAAGGATTTGTGAAAGGACTTCAAAAAAGAAGAATGCTATCTAAACTGGAAAATCCAGTGGCCACTCCCCCCTCATTAACATCCTTCGCCTTGGTCCTCATCAACCACCCGCCTTGCTCGTTCTGCAGGACATGTCCATTGGATTGATCCCAGAGAATGGTGCCATAGATACCTAACTCCCCAATGACCTTGCCACCGAGAACCTCGCCATCACTCCTCAAAACCACATTCTTGGCCTCAGCTGGCGGACGGATCAGTTCCATCAGGATCCATCGCTTCCATTCACTTTCTGGAATTGACCGTAAGAAGTCGGGAATGGCAGACTTATAAATGTTGTTGCCGCCTCCTTCCCGCTGCGGTTTGAGGACGTGGTTGAGAGCTGTTTCGGGATTCAGCGCCAATTCTCGGCCGCGCCCGTTTGAAGAAAGGTCGTACTGAGGCGCAAATGTTTCCCGTAAGCGGGCGACAGTGGCCGGGTCGGTGTCTGCCATGAAGTTCGCAAGGTGATCGGGCCCTGCAATCTCTGCCAGCACTTGTTGTATAATCTTAGACCCTGCCAACTGGTTCAGAACGGTGGGGCATTTGATCGCTGCAGAACGCTCCAACTGTGTCCGCGCCTCCCAGTCACGCTCGGAGGTGTAATCGGTCGGAGCATAGAAGCAGCGCAGATACACGGTTGTTACTTCAAACTGCGTGTCTGGTGAATGAGGGGGACGGTAGATGAGAGGCCGAGAAGCGTTTGCGCCGGGAATCGATGTGTGATCCAAAATCTCGGTACTGAGCAGTCGGAAAACGGGAATCTTATGGACGGTAGTAAGCTGTCTGGAGAGTGCTAGCTGGTCAAATATGTTCCGTTCGTTCTCCTGTACCACGAACAGAATACACGTGGGAAGAGCCGGGGTCGACTTCGAAGGCCCGTAAGCAGAATGCGCTGCAGCCAGCCCGGCAGACAAGGTTTCCACAGCGGTATTCTCGGGAGGTACGTTCGACTCAAACAGTGGGTGGGAAGGATAAGAGATGGGATAGCCTGGCGGGGAGGTAAGAAGCTCTGAATGGAGCTTTCGCACCAGAGAAGACAGGCCGCCGAAGGACGACGAGATAGTGTTAAACTCCACTTGCTTCAAAGACGGGGCGTTCGCGTTTGTCGGAGCGTGAGCCATGTAATCGGATCGATATAAACCAAGCGACAAATTCTGAACATATCCCTCCTCCTTGACTGAGAGGTGGACTTTCCACAGACGGGAGATGAAGTCGTCAACGTCAATCAGACTACAGGTCAAACAGTTTTTAGTGCAGAACTTTCCACAGATGCTGTACTCCGAAAGAAGCATTGCATTGAATCTAGGCCACAGAAAAGCATCAGAGTCTTACTCTTCCATAATCTTGCCCAGCCATTCCTCATTACATGTAATTGCGGCATAAAGCTTGTTGTATACAGTCTGCAATGCCTTGGCTTCTTCGAAGCATGCCCTTGGAAAGACACTCGGAAATAACGTTACTGGAGCGTTCGTCGCCAGTACACCATACGGGTCAGACTCTTTTGAAATGAACGTAGGAGGAGGTCGGACCATCAAGCCATTCTGCGTAGCCCAGTCCTTGATAGTCTTCACCAGGAACTCCTTCTGTGCGGGGTTCAGTTGCGGAGGGTAATTAGTATAGATCGAGTCACTCATTATGAAGAGCGGTATATATCCTGCAATGTGGAATCTCAGCACTCAAAGAAGCCCAGAAAAGCAGTTCGAAATCAATTGAGGACTGTTCAGGTGCGAATAAATCAACATTTCCTGCAAGAAAAGGCCATTATTAATACTGTCGATGAGGGGCCGTCGGCGATTAATCATCGGAGCTTTGGTACTACGCCGCATACCGCCTGTTGTACCGCCTTGCCTACCGGCAGAAAAAGAGCTCTATCGCGATAACCGACCGCCGATCGCCCTTTTCGGCAGTATCAGTTTGGCGCGTCTCGTTCCATCAACGCGATCAGTTCATCAGAATTCTTCCATAACCCAAATCAATAAAGTCGGCTGGAACTGTGATTTCATATGTTTAGCAGCTAGGTTTTTAGTGAATGCGAACTCTGTGAGATCGCGACTCTCTTGTCGCTCCTCTGCCCAATTCTTTTTTACTTTCTCGATCGTCCTTCGCTTCTCTCAGTTCTCGCCTCTCCTGTGACCAAATGGTGCCTTATCACTCAAGAGAAATCTCAATTTCAGTGATAAGCTGGACCTGCTGATGGGATTACCGTAAGATACTCCTGGCTTCAGCTCACTACGTTGATATTCCATTAACAAAAATAGCTCCACCAGGCGGAATGGAGTCTGATGAGGGAGATCCCCTCGACTGGACAGTTGACGAGGTCGTAGCCTTCCTCTGCCATAATCCTGAGACGCCATGGTCCCAGTCTGCGTCGCAGGCCCCTCGGCCAAACCCTGTCCAATTCGAAGCCGCTCTTCGAGAGAATTTGATAACTGGGGAGGTGCTGTTGCATGATGTCGACAAGGAGACTCTACGGGAAGAACTTGGACTCAAAGCTATTGGCCATCGTAGCTCTATGCTTATGGCAATACGCTACCTTCAGCGACGTTCTCAAAAATACCAGCGTTCTAGAGTGGAGCTTGCTTCCCAACTTGATGATCATCGGTATTCAGTTACCCCAAGTCACTTGACAGCTGTTATTCCAGGCCCTTTCGAAGAATTCTCGTCACCGATTCATCAGAACTCTGTGCCGCCAACAGCGACTCCTCAGAATCTGATGCAGCGCCCCCGTTGGATGACCCCCTCAGCATCTACAGTATCTCACACTAAAAGGATCTTTCCCCCGGATGCCGCGACTTCCAGTGGTCTGAGGGGCGACGAGTCTACTACAACGACCGCTACTGCTAAAGGTACTAAAAGTGCAACCACTACCACCGAGAGGCCTCCAAGCGTCCCTCCACCTGCCGTTAGTCGCCCCCCTGCGGAACAACGTATAGACCAATCCAGCCCCGGCAAACGCGTGCGTGCTTATGAACACATCGTGGTTGATGCTGAAGGAAAGAAACGACGCAGACTGGATTTGAGCTCTCTGCCCGAGCCACAAAAGGACCCTTGTGTGTCGAAGTCCTCGAACATTCCGCAAGACAAGGACTGGTACATTGGACCAGATCGGATTCTGCCTTCGCAATTATTCTATCCATGTACCTCTGGTGAGGAGGATCATTCGTTCGTAATGCTTGGTCCTCTGAATTTGCCTACCGCTCAGCGCCACTTCGTGAGAAAGTGCATGCACTATTTCTTCAGACAGCAACCCATTCAGTTGAGCTCTGATACTGAAGGTAGACACATGGCTCTGATCCCATATAATCACTCGAAGGTCAGTGAGCACGACGAGAAATTCTTCACTTTGTACACTGCCACAAATGGAACTGTGTCAGTTACACAGGAGGACATAAAGAAATGGCCCCAGTTAGAACAAGCAGGGGCTGCCGGCTCCCGGCTGTCGCAAACACTGGAACCATCTGACCCTTATTCATATCTCCTTCAGAAATATCCTGCCAGGGAAGACAACCAAGACGTCTGCCCATTATATGGTGACTCGGGCTCCGAAGGAGAGTTTGATGAAGAAACTTGGCAGGAGATTGCTAATGAACGCGATGATATTGCTCAAAGTAAACCGGCAAAGCTGACTCCCGCTGAGGTTGACTCAGTAATCGAAGATTGTATGGCTGAGTTTGTGAATCGGTGGCGCCAGAATGGCTTACCGAAGGAGGAATATAAGGCCCGGAAGCTTTGGGTCACAGCTCGAAGGGCGAAGTGTACTTATCAAAAAGTCAAGGCCATTAATCGCGACGTCATCTTGCTGGAGAAACGGTTAGGCAAAGTGCTCGAAGCAATACGCGGAAGTGAATATGCCTCAAAATCGGAGTTACAAACACAGTGTCAAAGCATGGAGCAGACTGTTATCGATATACAGAAGCAAAAGTGGCGTATCTCGGTCTTGGAGGAAGAGAAGTGTCCGCCAAAGGTTGCTTCTGCCCCCAAAACAAAGCCATTGCCAAAACCGGAGAATAGTGCCGCGGACGAGGAGTCTCTTCACTCAGAATCCGACGTCTCTTCTGACTTCCAGGATGACTTCATCGACGACTCCGAGGTTCAGGAAGGGGTCTCGTCCATTGAAAACTTTGGAAACGTGGACAGCGTCGACAGAAGGCGAACACCGGCGTCGACGCCCTCAACATCCGAAAGCGATGATGACATTATCAGTCCTTCGGGAATCAGACGTAAATCAAGGGCCAAGAGGTCGCCTTTCTTGGCAACCAGCTCGCCTTCTCCTGACCCTTCTGGAAACGCGCAACGGGCAGAGATTATTGACCTCACAATGGACTCTCCTCCAGCATCAGCAGACGAATTCAGGATCGAAACACCGCCACTCAATCCTGTGCGACCACCCAGGTGGACAGAATCGGACGACGTTAGCTTGAAGATCGAACGAAGTCCTTCGATATCTCCTCCTCCCCAGCTTAGCTCCAATGTAGTCGTCGAGATTCCGAAGCGAAGACCAGAAATCATCAACCGGAAAGCTGAAGGGTCGAAATCGACGCGCAAGTTCAACATACCAGATCTGCCTGACCACAATGATTTCAAGGGTCTGCTGTCGTACCCTTGGGAACTTCTCGAGGAACGCCACGATCGCCGTAGATTGCTTGCAAAGTTAATTGCAACCATGCCTGACTGCGAGCGTGAAGAGATGGCTTCATTGATACCTGAATACAAATATGATGAATTGAAGGACAT